GTCGTCGCCGCCGCCGCCGCTCCGAGCTCCGGCCAGGCGAGCCAGCCGAGCGCCGAGTCGGACCCGAAGAGCGGCGCCCGTGAGCGGTACCAAGGCCCGAGCAGCCGAAGCTAGAACGCCGCCAGGCACGAGCAGCCGAGAGACGATGTCTTTCGCCGCCGTGCCGTGCGGCGCCTGGGTGACGTAGGCCAGGCGAGACGAGTCGAGTCCGGAGGGCGGCGGGTAGCGGCCGCCGGGCCCGGTCGCCTCCCGGTGCGCCGGGTCTCCCCGCCGGTACAGGACGGCTGCGGGTGGAGGCCGAGAGTCGCGCAGTGCCAGGCACCCGGTCAAGGGAAAAACGACGGCGTGCCGGCCCGGGCCGCGGCCTGCCCCCGCGAAACCCTTCGGGGCCGCGCGGGCCTGAGGCCGGGCCTGGCACCGCGGGCGTTCGCCTGCTCTTTCGGCGTGAAAGACGCTTGGAGAGAAAAAGAGCAGGGTCTCGGATGAGACGTAACTGAAAAGAGCCTTCCCCTGAAGGAGCAGGGCGTTGTTTATTGTTATATATCGATCTCCCACGCCGTGGGCGGCGAGGACCCACAACACGTACACAGGCCCTTGGGAAGAGGGAACGGGCAGCAGTGAGAAACCCTCGGCGGGCAGCAGTCCGAGCTGCTGCCTCTTGCTGCATCACCTGTACTGGAGAAGTGAGAGCCTCGGGGAGGGGGGATTTGGGTGTTGGAAGGAAAATCTAAGTAAGCCAGGGCACTCTGTGCTGGTAAATCAGCAAGGTAGGGGGGGGCGGGGGAGAAGAAGAAAAAAAAAAAGTCAAAAGGCCCGGACAGGTGAAGTTTAGGGCTCGAGATTTGCTGTAATACACAGGACTGGAGTGAACAAGGGCAGCCTGCAGCACGGCTAGACAGTCTTCCAAGGAGGTATTTTACGGGAAAACTGAAAAGTGCTGGTGATGGGATTTTACAAGGAATTTAGTCAAGTAGGGAAAACTGCAATACCTCGGACAGTCAGTCACTCTCACCCTCCAACAGATGATTGAGAATTATCGGACATTACTTGGTCAGGGTAGACGTTCCTTTTCAAAGCTCTGACAATGCGCAAAGTTTTAAGTACTCCAGAATGCAGCTGGCAAGATGAGGTGAAAGTACGGAGGAGCAGGAAAGAAACATGAATCTCAGCTGTCAAATTTAAATATGGTCTTAAACCCGAGGGAAAAGAGAAAAATCTAAATTAAATGTTTTGAAGGAAGCTGCTTAGGAGTACGTGGGGCAGGCAAACTGTTCTCTAGATGAGGAAGTTCCGTCTCCCAAGTGAACTGAAGGGTACTGACATCTGGCTCAACAAAGAATAGTAGTTTTGACTGGATTGGTTTTGTCTGATGTGGCCTGATACATTTTTTCCCAAACTGATAAGCGAGATGAGTTTTGAAATTAAACTCTACCAAAGGTGACCGTGGCTGAAAGAAGGCAAAACCCAGCAGCAGCAAACGTGTTCCGGGAAGTGCCTCCACTTTGAGTTCACTCTGGTCTCAGCACATGCTGAGAAGAGCTATTCATAGTATAAGTTGAGAAACTCCAGCTCGTTATTACGTGACAGTGTTTGTACCTACATGTGTCCAAGACTCACTTGACCTTAGTGTCACCCACACAGCTCATTCACTGTCTGCTGGTGTTAAGGTCTAAAGATCAGTATTTTTAGCATAGTCTGTCAGATATGATTATGAGCCATCAGACACCATGTACAGCAGCAGCTCTTAGCTTAAAAATGCTTTTTTTTTTTCAGAAAACAATTCTTGTATGCTTCCGAGATAAAAGGAGCAGGGTTTTTGGCATAGCGAGCAATATTAGTTCTTGGGCGATAACTCATGGGAAGACGCATAAAGAAAATAGTTACATCTGAGATGGTTGTACGTAATTTTTTACAGATCTCATCAGGTCTTAGGAAAACATCTTGCTTTTATATCATAAAGCACCCTTGGTTTTCTGTAAGACAGTAAGTGCTTACTGCCATTGCAAACCTGACAGGGCTATACCTAATCCTGCATCTCCGTCCTAGGCTTAGAAACATGTCCCGTACTTTCTTCAAACGTGGGGCATGATCCAGGCTCGTTTCCTCTAAAAGAACACAGACCTGGCATGCCAGATGGTTGCACTGCTACTTTAAGTAGCTACATCTTTGCAGCATTCTGCATTCCCTACCACTTTTGTTTCTTTTTCTGCCCAGTAAACAATAAAAATCTAAGAAACAAAATTTTCTCAGACTGCTGTCAAGAGATCCTTGGAAACACTTGCATCTTCTGGAAAGAGAACATTGCCAGGAAACTTCCTAGACTTGTGCCAGCAACAACTGCATGCGTTAGTCATCTTTTTCCACTGAATAGGTAGATTGCCAGCAGCGGTAGAGCAGCCTTTCTGTACCTCAGCTGTGATCTAAATGGAGAACTTTTGCAATCAGTTCACTTTTTGTGACCCAGCCAGTCCTTGGCATTTCTTTTATAGCAGCCAACAAGATGAGTAGTTTTCTGTTGTGGCAGACATACCCAGTGAGAACTAGAGTTACATTCGCTAGCCCATTTCCTGGTATCTGTTAAGTATCTAACAGTTGACCGTAGCTTAACATCTTCTCCAGTCTGTTTGGGAAAGAAGAAACCTTCAACCCTTCTTGACCTTCTGGGTAGGTGCAAGCACTAGTGTGTACCCAGCAAAAAGCCAGACCCTTCCCAGAACACAGCTGTCACCTTTCAGAGGAATGACTGGGTTTGGGGAAATAAACAAAACTGCAGAATGGTATTTAGCAAGAATTTATACCTGCAAACAAACAGATAAATCTTTGCTTTGCTGCTCATGAATTCATGGTAGACATGAGCCCACGTGGAAGTTTAATTTGTGTGAAATACTGTTTAAAAATCAATCATATGGGTTTTGGGTTACAAACTGGCATAGAATTGGTTGCTTTATAGAACAGTGCAAGGCTTACAGATTTTTCGTCATTATCAACAACAATTTCCCAAGCTTCTCCACCAATTTCACGTTAGTCAGGTGAAAGGGGGGGGGGGGTCTCTAAGCATCACAACAGTAAAAATCTAGCAATTAAATTGCATCTCTGGAGAGATTGAGAGAAGTTCAGAATACCACCTGAAACGAAGAGAGCAAAATTTCTCCTTGTCTCACATCTGCTTAGTCACTACAGACTTAAAGAAGAGGAAGGGGCATATTTGCTCTGTATATCTTCCCAGATGAACCGTTAGAGGCCTTCCCTCTGTCACAACGTTAGCTAAAATGAGTAAGTAAAAGCTCTTGACGAACACGACAGGCTTCCGAGTCCATTGACTCCATTTGCTCGTACTCTTCTTCCGGTTGTTCCATGTGTCCTGTGGCCGGCGAAGACCACACGTCCAGCCCGTGTTCCAGGGAGATGTTATGAAGCACACAGCAGGCCAGAATGATGTGGCTGGATTTCTCTGGAGAATACTGCAGGGTGCCTTTCGACCCATCCAGGCAGCGGAAACGCGACCGAATGGTTCTGAACGTCCGCTCAATGACATTGTGAGTGGCAGAATGCGCCATGTTGTAACGATATTCAGCAGGTGTCTCGGGGATATGCAGAGGGGTCATCAACCATGTCTGGAGAAAGAAGGAGCTGTCACCTGTTAGCAGGGAAGAGGAGGAGGACAGGTTACGTACCTACAGTTAACCACAGATTTCAGCTCCTGACCCTTGGTTTTCTGCTACTACAGGTACAGAGTAACTTATTTCTCTGGCTAAAACAGAAGGCATGAGAAAGCATGGAAGAGTGACAATAACTCAGGTTTACAAATGGGACAACAAAATAAAGGCATTCAGTTTTACACAGGGAAATCCTGGAAGAACACGGAAGAGCTTTAAGAGAATTCTACAGAATTAAAGAGAATTACTACATAATACAGTGAAAGACAGCTGGACTAGGATCCTACATAGAATTAAAAATTGCATAATTCAGCTTAGAAAGGTGTAGGATACTGAAAACAAGCTCTTAACAGAATTAATGTAAACTAATACATACAATGATCGGACTGTATAAAACACAGATTGGAAGTTACTGTTCTAGATTTCTAAGAGAAGGATCGTCCCAACTGAATCGCAAATCTCAAGGAATCTGCAGGAAAGCAATCAAAAGTCACTTGTGCCCAGAGGCTCCAGACTCAATAAGGAGCCGATATATAATAGACTTTCCACAGAAAACAACAATGAAAAGTTGACTTACCAAGTAGCCAGCCATCTTTATGTAGCTCAGTTTCAAACTGGCTTCTAAGGGCTGCCCGCTGTAACACCGTGCAGTCGGGCAGGCTGCCTGGCCAGTGCGTTTCCGCACTCAGCAGGACTCCTCTGGCATCACACACCATCAGGCAGTTCAGAGAATGGAGACCCTTTCGGTTCACGTAGGACAGGTCCTCAGCATTTGGCGCTTTGATTGCCACGTGGGTGCAGTCAACCACCCCCAGCACGCCTGGCATGCCTGCCAGCCCATAAAAGTCGTCCTTCAGGCTCTGTACGGTGGCTTCATCTTCAGGAAAGTGAATGAACTGTGAGGCTCTTTCCACCAATGCCTCGGTTACGTTGGCAACGCAGCGGCTCATGGAGGCTTGACTAATGCCAATAGCATCCCCCATGCGAGTCTGGAAGGAGCCGGAGGTATAAAAACCCAGTGCAGCAAGTATCTGTGTCTCTGGACTGATGGCCCTGGACCGCTGCGTAGGGCGAGAGAGACTGGCTCCCAGGAGATCCACCAGGTAGTAAATGAACTGTCGGGGAAAGCCGTATGTGGATACTAAATACTCATCCGTGACATCCTCCAGCTTGAAGCGATCCAAAGTCCTGTGTCCACGGCCATAGAGCAAGAGGTCGCAGTCAAGAACCGCAATAGGTACGGCCATGGCAGTCCTCTAGGGCTCCTCCCTTACGGAGCTTTCCCAGAGCCTTCACCTGCACAAAGCAAAGGGGAAGGAGACTCAGAACGGGTTTTACTGGTCAGCCTTTCAGACCCCGTTACCGTTTTCCTTTTACTCAGGTTACCCAGCGAATCTTTTCACTTCTTTGTACCTGCTTTTTAAAAAACACGGGGGTCAAAGCAGGAGGGCTCACGGCGGAGCTGGCAACTCTCCAGCCCTGCCTGGCGGGAGGGGGCCTGCAACCCACAGGGATTCCTTTGCCGTGACGGGGC